GGCTATAGAGAACTCTGCGCGTGCTCTAAAGCTATGAAGTTAACATTGCCAATTTAGATATTGCCAATTTAGTTTTTGATCCCTTCACTTCTATTCCAGTGGAAAGAGAAATTAAATTGATAATTTAATCCTATCCATAATTCGTTGGAAAGAGAGTCTTGTTCTGGTCTCTGACTGAAATAAACAAATGTATGGAGCAATGGCCCATGAAGAAGCAGCGTTCGCAATGGGATCTGTTCATGTCTTCTCAAAGATCAGTCCTTTTGATTCTAGTGGCACCGCTCCTTAGAAAGTTTGGATTGCCCCCTAATTTTTTTTTCTCTGTTCTGTGCAGGGACGTCCATGGAAAGGATCCAAAAAGTCAAGAGGGCATTTGCGAGGCATGTGATAAGGAGCATGGGCACCATCTTGATTTTTTTTGACACCCCCCATTCCTCACATGGGAGGGCAGAACCCAAATATGAGTAAATGAACATGGGTTGAATTAGGATAGGATGATATTTTTTTACCAGTTGTTGGTTTCTTTGAGCTAAGTATAGGATTGTACAGTTTTGACCCATCAAGTGTGAACTGGCAGGAGCTTGGACACCCCTACCTTGCAAATCTTGTGTTTTGGCAACCCCTGAGGCTCGTGGAACTCTTAGTAGCAAAACTAGATAAAGTTTTGCAAGGTGAAGCTTCCTTTGAGTCAAGCTCAGCTCCCAGTGAATACATGGACACACCTCTGTGGCTTCCTTTGGCAAAACTCCTTTGGAGTGATTGAGGTGGACTTTTTCCAAGATGTTCTTACAAGTTCCCATTCTAGCCTTCAGCCTTGGAAGTCCCTAATTGTCTCCCTTCCAACTGTTAACTAGATCTGGACTCTAGTTGTCTTTTTGAGATCAGCCAGTGCTAAGTGAGTCTAAAACGCTCGCCCGTCTGGAGAGAAGGAAAAGGAATTTGTACTAGATTCATTGATTTGCAAGACCCAGATGTGTTTTTCTCTCGCAGCATTTGGCAAGGATGGGCTGCTGAACTCCATTAAGAGGAATTAGTCTTCCAAATTTCCATGAAAGGTTGCCAGGATTGTTTTAATGAAAATGTCAATGCATCTATCAGCTGGGTTTTTTCATATATACTGAAATGAGCTAATTTATCTAAGAGGTTAGGATCCGGATGAAAAATCTTATAAATTCATTTGTTGTTTACATCCCTACAGGTTTTTTCCTGCAATTGGAAAAACATAATAATCAGATTTTCCATATCAAGGATTCCAAAAAGCTGTTGCCAATTAAAATAACTCATTTATCTGTTAGGAAAACTGAAAATCCTCAAGTTGGTCTTGAATTTAAATGTTATTTCTTTGTTTAATAACTCTGTTTACTTTGAGGTTCACATGTGCTTATTACTCCTTTGAGTAAACTTTGCTGCTAAGATTTGTAACAAATTAGAAGGGGAATCCCTGGTCCTATTTGTGGTACTCTACTCAAAGACTAAATATCTTTTTGACCAAATGCACATGGTCTCTCTTCCCCTCAATTACTCATCAGTCGTCAATATTTTAGGTTTAGTTAATAGAGTCACAAAAGCAATTATTCTGAATTAGAAATTCAGCCTTTCAGCTATTTTGAGATGGTGAATTCAGTGATTAATGAAAGGGCAGGACCTGCAGGATGCATTTGAAGAGTGTCCAGATTTTTAATATCTCCCACAAAGTCTCGCGAGTTTGACCAACAAAATCAGAATGTGATCTTACCTCTTTTGTTTTGGTCTGCAGGAATGGTCTGGCCTATTTTATGCTTACAAAAGAGTAGCAAGAGGAAGCAGGTATGTTTCTTCCTTCACAGGACTCAGGGATGCCCACAAAGTCAAGATGGCAGCTGCAACAGCGTGATTGAAGCTCTGCCTGATTTTATGTGTGCTGCACCCTGTGGACACCTCTAACAGGAGTGGGAGTAATGCAATATTTTTATCCAATACTTCTCACCTCATTTCCCATTCAGGCCTGACCCCAGTGTGTATTGAGATAATTTGCTTTTCATACCTCCGCATGACTTTAAGGACTTGACTGTTGTAGGCTAGGCCGAGGACCACATTTCTGATAAAAATCAGAGTTAGAACCTAACATTCCAGAAAGTGTAACAATCAGAATTTGGTTAATGGGAGCCAATTTTCATTGATCTCAGGTGGAAGAGAAAAGTCTCAACCCACTCCATTCCACTTCTGTGCCCCAATGAAGCCGTCCTCCGGTTTATGTAAAACAGTACGACAAAGCGAATGGGGACAAAATTTTGCAAATCACAGGATTGCACTCAGATCAGCTCAAGCTATCCTGGGTCACTCATTTCTGATGATGGTGGAGAGGTCCTTCATCCCACCACTTGGCCTTGTCCTGAGGGGTTGCGCAACCATGTTTTATGAATTCCATCAGCTGCCTGATCTGGACTAACAATGGATTGAGAGATAAAAATTGCATTCCTTACATTTCTGCCTCAACCCCTCACATTCAGCTCCACTCCAGTCAAAAAAAGAGGCCATCATTCGCTACAAATATCTCCTCTCTTTGCTAAAAGTAAAGACTCCTTCTGGTGAAATTTGAACCTGGTGACGCCATATGCCAGCCCATGCAAGTTTTGGCAACCATGCAGAAATGGTTTGCCCTTGACTTTTTCCAGGGTGCCCTTTCAACTTTTCACGGTGGTCTCTCATTTAAGGGCTAATCAGGGATGACCCTGCTTAGCTTTTAGGTTTATTACATGCTGCGGTCAAAAGAACAGTAATAGACCCTTTGGTTTGCCTGGCTGAAATTCAATATGATCATTCTTATTCCAGGGCCTACTGTTGCAAAAGTCATGACATTCTATCGCAAGGGAAAGGCACTTAAATTGATATCATAACTGAAAGAAAGATGGCTTCAAAATCTGTGCAACAAATTCCATAACATTTGGCCCAATTCTAGGTTTAGCTTTCCTGAAAAGGTTCCCTATTCTGGGGGGAAATAACAAAGTTAGAGGCATTTCTGTTTTCCTGTGGTAGGGAGTCTATTTCTCTGAAGTTCCTCCAGATCTGGGGATCAAATCAGATCGGAGCCCCCCCTAGATAGACCCAAACTGGATCAGTTATTTCCAGAATTCCAGGCCAGACCTCTAAGTGGATCAACTGCTTTCTGCAAAACCATTTTGCAATTCATTAGGGTTTAATTGCAGAGGGTTTTTTTGCCCGCTAGATGTCAGGGCTGTGCCAGTGAACCCTTTAGAAACAGAAGTCAAAGATACGGCTTATTGCCTCTATTGACTAAAGTCTGGATTTACAGGGGCTTTGGATGTAATCTCAGGAATCAAATGGGGTGCTTTTCCACCTGAAGTGGAACTTAAGTCTGAAGAGTGTTCAGGGATCTTTTCTTTCTGGCAGATGAAATTCAGAAATATGTGCACTCTTAAGGGACTGTCACAGTCAAAGCAGAGAACCCAAGATTCAAATGCACCATTTCCCTACTTTGAATAGGCACACAGAGAGAGACTGGGCTGCAAAGTCTAAAAGAGCAGATCCGGGATCTGAGCATGCTTCCCATGACCACGGTGGTTTTCTCTTTCCCACCGCAGCTCCCAGTTTTGAAGGACATGGTGCTGACCCTGAAAGCTGAATCTCTGTCCTTCTTAATGTATAGAACTTGCTCCTCCTTAATAGGTAGCTTATTTTATTCTGTCTCAAAGGTCTTTCCATGCAACCTTTCTCCCCTTTATCAGCAAGGGACGCTCATGAGTCATGTTGTAAAAAAGACTCAACTCTGCTTTTGGTTCACCTGACGTTGGCATTGGAAGTGGAGGTAGTGGGGGCAAGGGAGCTTACCAGTCGGCCAATAGAGAGGTAACGAGTGCTAGGTTGGTCAAAGATGGGAATATCTTCCAACAATGTATAGTGAAAGTATAGATTTTAGGTGTTCAGCCAGGCAGCGACTGCATTGAAAAGGAAGAGACCATGGCTGGTATCTCCAGGGGCATCAAGGCTTTGGAGACCAGTTATTGGAGGACAACAAATATTTTCTGTTTTGGTGGAGGCTGTTTTATTGAGTTGTTTGTTTGATTTATATTCCACCTTTCCTCCAGGAGTTCAAAGTATCTCACAAGGGACTCTCTCTGCAGTTTATGCCAAAGCAACAAAGACTGGGCTGAGAGAAGGAGAGTCACCCAGGGGGTCTCCATGGCTGATGGTCCACCATTGGCCCACATTGCCACTATTTCACCACATTGCTTAGATCAGGGTTCCTCAACCTTGGCGACTTGAAGATGTGTGGACTTCAACTCCTAGAATTCCCCAG